CATAAAAATTGGTTCCGAAAAAACTTGACTTTTACGAAGTCTGGCACTTTTCTTGTCTGTTTTGTCTTTATGTGGCCGGTCTTTCTTTCCCTTTTTCTGATCGAAAGATCTTTTTTGACGCGCTATCGCTATAAAGGTTACGGCGCGCAGCGTCGTGAGAAAGGGGAATCGTCACTTGCACCAAGGGTTGAGGTTGAAAAAGAAAGCAGCAAGTGAAGAGATAAGGCCTCTCATTTCCATTAGGGCAGATGCATTCCCATTGTAACGGCGAAGTATTGTTATAAAAGAATACCGTTATAGAAAGATCTGACTTTATATATTTTATAACTTTTTTTAATATAAATAAAGTCTAGACAAAAGCTACTGATTTCGTCCGTACTCGTAACTCTGCCCCTGTATGTGAAGATATAGATGGTTGAGTTAGGCTTGACCAAAAAAAATAAAAAAATAAAAATTGTGTGAAGAAGTTGACTATCAAAATTCTTTATTAAGTAATAGAGATTTTGCTTTGCTTGCCTGCAAAGAGCTCAATGTAGTTGACGACATTAACACTTGGTGGGGCTTTAAAGCTTTGTATAACTTAATTATTTTTTATTTTAATTTTTGTGAATAAACAAATTATTAAGTGATAGAATTAGGCTACCAACCTGATAGTTAACCTTCCAATATTTCTTTCCAACTTCAAATATTTTCCTCTTTCAAATTAATGATTTTACTATTTTACCCCTACATTTGTATGTTAATTACTACCATTTCTTAAAAGGGCTAAAATACCCTTTCCTCTTTTTTCTCTAATATTAGTTGAATATTATAATTTTTTCCTTTTCATATGTATATATATATATATATATATATATTGCACATGACTCGAAAAAAAAAATAGAAATATTTCCGATCATAGAAGCAAAAACTCGAAAGCACATTTAATTAGCTAGTGGTTGGTACAATGTAATAAGAATTAGAATCTAAAATCACATTTTGAGTTAATGTTCATTGGATTTAATTTATATACATCGGCAGTATGAAATACTATTTACGCTATATGCTATCGGGTGTATTATTATCTTGTGGTACGAAGTAATCTACCTTATTTTTCAAGTAACTTAATGGGCGTTTGGACATAAGAATAGTAAAATTTCGAAAAATATGAAATATTTTTTTTAAATAAAAATGATATTTGAAAATTAGAGTTGTGTTTGGACATGAATAGAATTTTCGGTTATTTTTGAATTTTTGCGAGTGATCTGAATGATTTTTTTTTTGTTGAGAAAACACCTTTTTTGAAGTTTTTCAAATTTTCGAAAAATTCCAAAATTCATCCTCAAGTGAAAGTTAAAAATTTTATGGCCAAACACTGATATCAAAAAAAAAAGTGAAAAATTTTCGGAAAAAAAAAAAATCATGGCCAAACGGGATCTAATTAGTCTCATTTTTTATGGACGATATACGTAATTATATTTTAATTGACGCCATAATTATAAAAAAATTCTTTTATATTATCAGTGTATAAAAATTAAAACCCATTTTTATACGTAAATAACATGCAAAACAAAAAAGTGCTTAATGAGAAAAAAAAAAAAAAAAAAAACGTTA